GTCGTAGGTGACCTCGGCGTTGTAGCCGCCGTAACCCTGGTTGTCAGCCGTGTACTTGACGTGCTGGACCCGGCCGTCGGGCAGGTTGACCGAGTAGTAGCCCTGTACGACCTTGGTATCGCTGTTCTCGTTCTGGGAGAACACTGAGCCGCTGTAGTGGTCGTTGACGGCGTACGCAAACTGGTACGGCTGGGCGTAGTAGCGCGGCTCCTGGTACGACCTGGCGTAGGAAGGCGCCCGGCCGTACAACGGAGCCGGGGCGTGGTTTGGCGCCGGAGCAGGAGCGAAGCGTGGTGTCTTAGCTTGGGCGTAGCGTGGGGGGGGGCCTGGCCGTAGCTTTGGGCCGCAGCACCGACAGGACAGCGGCGCGCGAATGAAGATCTGAAATAATATAACGTACCGTGTAACACGCTCTTGATAGTACAAATGAAGACCACTCTGATATTGGACTTAATCTCGTATAATCAAACATGCAGTGCTGTGTGTTGTCTTCACCTCTCAGTGACCTCACCTTCATGGTGCTCTTGGCTATGATTCGGTGGGCGACTGACTCTTTGTTCCTGGCCCGGTGGGCTTATATACGAGCGTTGTGGAGGGCGGGGTCGCTCGTGCTGCTAATCGCCTTCACGTTCTCATGGTGGGCCCGCCGTGTGTATGTGCATGCAGAGCTGGGTGTGTTGTGTGATAGAGCTGTGATAGAGGTGAAGAGTTTCGTGCGAAATATTCAAGATAGGTGGTAATATTTATCTCTGTTATATGTTATTATGGTTGCCATGTTTTTGAAGCATTCTTGAATGGTGGAAGACTCTAAAAGTGATACACATCCTGGTGTATTTTAGGTCTTGTCTTATCTTGTGGTCTAGTCACAAATGATAGAACACCCTGGGAATGCTTTCAGCTTTGTCTTGGTGAGTTTTTTCAACATTACGGTAGGTTTATTTTTCTCACTTGTTCTGCCCTCCTACCTAGCTTTGCCAAGTTCGCAATTATTCCACGGTTTTTTCCTTGAATGAAACCATTTGATAAAAACAATCTACTTCACGTGCGTAGTCTTCTTTTAATGTAGACTTAACGTATCTGTAGGATATCTCGCGGGAGATAAGCTTAGCACTGACGTAAACACCAATTGTGTAATGAGCTGTTGCTCAAACAACGTGAACTATTTGAGTAAGCCTCCGGTAACGCGTGGTTACCTTGTTGTCGATGGCGTAATATATTGCATCCAGCGTGCTCTCCTCGCATTTGTGTTTCCTATAGCTAATGTGCTAATTAAAATCGACACTTTTCTACCTAACACTACATGATCCGGCTCCTACAGTCTCTGCGCGCTAGGTCCACCTACCAACGATGCTCACCCTCTGGATCCATCTCCCCCGACCTTCACGCTCTTGAACCACCTCTGCACGATGTTCACTCGCATGGTCCACTTATGTCCTCTGTTAAAAGTGCACTGTGCATTGTGTCGAAAACCTGCCCCGGATGCTTATTTTGAGCTGGCGTCTTGATTTTGCCGTTTCATGTGCAGAAAGTGCACACACATTTCAGTGGTCGACCATGTTGACCACGTAGCGCGTCGTAGTAGACACGATGCGGAAACAGCATGCTACGGCCGGGATATGTGTATGTTTAGATATGATTTCAGTGCCCTCATACTGAGTTAATGGCCTTTCGTATGCCAACAGGTACTGTTTAAAATATGTTGTGATGCTAAACAAGATGACATTGGCGGTACCGGGTATTTTCAGCTGTGCTTCATTAACAGATGAGTACACCAGTGCCAACTCCCCCTGCTATCTTGATTGCTCAGCATGAAAATTTTGATCTTAGAATACCGAGATTCCAGAGCTGAGGGCCTTTCTTTATGTTATCAAGAACTCTCAAAGTCACAGGCTACTAGTTGTAAAATTGAACACCTCTTTGCCCACATAGTCGACGGTCATGAGAACCGTGTAACGATTTTTTGCTGTTTATTGGTGTGTGCCGTCTTTATCATAACTGTATCATTTGGTCTGGTGTGGAAAACTGAAACACTCAGGCGGCTTTACGGGACGAATATATTCATCCGCAATATGTGATTGATAGGAAACTTCGGGTCGACATGGTATTGATTACAGCAAGCTGTACCATGCGTAAGTAATGTTACCGTGATTGCCATCGCTTTCTGTAAATCGTCTTATGGAAGGTAGCATTCGGGATGGTAACCATGTCGCATGATTTGAGATCGCTGCCAAAAGTGTTCGGATTTGCCCCGAAAGCAAGTGAAAATTATTGGTATACAAGGCATCTTTCCAACTCTTAACAAAAAACCAAAATTTGAAATGTTATTGCTGATATGCTGTTTGCCCCAACTGTAATTATCTGTTATATCATGGCTGTATTGCAACTGGAGTGATCCAGGGCTCGGATCCAACCATAACTGGAGATAGTGACATGCCTCACTTCAACAATCTGATGGTATTTTGTTCTTTGCCTCAGAAATCCGGTGTTAAAGATTTAACACAATGTCGGCCAGCGTGTTAGGCGCAGTTCACCACTGCCTCAGGATCATACATCACGAGTGTTATGGAGGCGTTTGTTCAGTCGCTATCCCCCTGCCCGCCATGTGCAACCTTACTGCGACGATGTTTTGTTCCCCGGTCCGAGTTGCTTGGTTTGTTTCATACAATTGATTTTTAAAGTACGAACAGTTTATTTTATGCAATGCATTACACCAAAGACGTAGGACACACATTTAAACGAGAAAACAAGAAGATATGAGTGCACACTTAAGTGAGTTGTGGACTCTTGCTAATACGATTGGGGGGGAGCTCCGTAAGACCGAGCGGGCTTGAAAGAGGCAGCAGTAGGCCGGTAAGAACGAGCAGGTGTGTAAGAGGGAGCAGCAGGCCGGTAAGAGAGAGCTGGTTTGTAAGAGGTAGCAGGCTGATAGGAGCGAGCCGGTTGGTAAGCAGGAGGAGCCTTGTAAGAGGGAGCGGCAGGAGCGTAGGAGCGGGCTGGGGCGTAGCTGGCCCGCTCGGGGTACTGGGCCTCGCCGTCGTAGGTGACCTCGGCGTTGTAGCCGCCGTAGCCCTGGTTGTCGGCCGTGTACTTGACGTGCTGAACTCGGCCGTCGGGCAGGTTGACCGAGTAGTAGCCCTGTACGATCTTGGTATCGCTGTTCTCGTTCTGGGAGAACGCTGATCCGCTGTAATGGTCATTGACGGCGTACGCAAACTGGTACGGCTGGGCGTAGTAACGGGGCTCCCGGTACGACGGGGCATAGGAAGGCGCCTGGCCGTACGACGGAGCCGGTGCGTGGCTTGGCGCCGGAGCAGGAGCGTAGCGTGGGGCGGGTGCCTGGCCATAGCTTTGAGCCGCAGCCACCGACAGAACAGCGGCAAGAACGAAGATCTGAAATGACATACAGTGTTTTATGACATGCTCTTTAAGCAGTACAAATGGCAACCATCCTGATCTTGGACTGCACCTTTCATAATCAAACATGCAGTGATGTGCTGTCTTCACCTCTCAGCTGACCTCACCTGCATGGTGCCCTCGGTGTGTTTCGGTGGGTGACTGATGCTATGTTCCCGGCCCCGCGGTCTTATATACGAGTCGTTGTGGAGGGCGGAGTCGCTCGGTCTGCCAATCGCTCCCACATTCTCATGGTGAGACTGATGTGTGGATGTGCATGCAAAGCTGGGTTTGTAAGCGGTATGCCAGAGCTCCCCAGAGATAGATCCCAAGTTAGTCCCAAGGATTTGCATTCGCTGACAGGCATGATTTGCCTTTCAATAGATCAGTGACCTAACAAGGCGTACTTATTTGTCTCATACCAAAAGTTATGCTATTTAATTCCGTACAGGTGCACAAAGTTTGGTGCGGAATGTTGCCCAACCAGAAGTCATTCTGGAAACACATGTTTCAGTCAAACATCTTCGTGTTGGTTAGAAGTTGTTTTGCGCTTTCAAATGCTGGTGCTTGTTTTAACCTTGTTTGCCGCAAACTCATTCTCATGTGGCGCATGTAGTTACCGCCACTGATAGATACTGGGCTGTTATGAACTGATTTGTGCTTTTCCATGACACCGGCTGTGAACAAAACTATTTCCCATTAAACTCCATTAATTGTGCAAAGCCTTTGCGTGGAGACCATAGTGAGGGTCCAAGGAAGCAGGTACGTCAACAGTAATAGTATAGAAGGAATTCTTTGAACTCCGCTCATGAAGGCATAATTATACCCTGAGCTATGGTCAACCTAATCGTGGAAGAACGTAACAGAAACAAATTTAGTTTAAAGTGGCTTGTGCACCGCGATATTGCCCCAAAATCAGAATGGTCTACAACAAATGCCGCCATGTCATTCATCTACACCACCTCTTTTAAGATTCCCGTTGGATGTGATGGAATCATCACGGAATACAGAGATGAAAATGTCAGGCACATCGTTCAACCATAGTGAATTACTTCTGCATCGTTGTCCGCATGTCCGCCGCAGAGCAACGTTCGCGTGGCTTTTTCGGGACAGCACTTCAAGATAAGTGTACCGTAAATGCGTGCTCGTTAAGCCTTTGCAATCTCTTCGGTTGTTGTCATTTCTGGAAAGCGACCTGAATACGGCGAGTTATTTGTCAGCCGATCCGAGCTGCCTCCTTTCTTCATTAAGTTGCTAAATCACGTACGTAACAGTATATTTACTATTTGATGCCTTGCACAATAGGTGTAGAATACACACAAACGGGGGAACAATATGTTACGACCACTTTCCTCTTCTTTCGATGCTTCCTAATACGACTGGGAAGGAGCTCCGTAAGATACAGTGGGCTTGTAAGAGGGAGCAGTAGGCGTGCAAGAGGGAGCGGAATTGTAGGAACGAGCAGGTTTAAAAGAGGGAGTTGGCTGGAATGGCCGGGCCGGCTGGTAAGAGAAAGCAGCCTTGTAAGAGGGAGGGGCAGGAGCGTATGATCGGGCTGGGGCGTAGCTGCCCTGCTGGGGATGCTGGGCATCCCCGTCGTAGGTCACCTCGGCGTTGTAGCCGCCGTAGCCCTGGTTGTCAGCAGAATAGTTCACGTGCTGGACCCGGCCGTCGGGCAGGTTAACCGAGTAGTAGCGCTGTACAACTTTGGTGCCGCTGTGCTCGTTTTGGGAGAACACTGAGCCGCTGTAATGGTCGTTGGCGGCGCACGCAAACTGGTACGGCTGGGCGTAGTACCGCGTCTTCTGGTACGACGATGCGTAGGAAGGCGCCCGGCCCTACGGCGGATCAGGGGCGTGGCTTTGCGCCGGAGCAGGAGCGTGGCGTGAGGCGGGTGCCTGGCTGTAGCTTTGGGCCGCGGCCACCGACAGAACAGCGGCGACAACAAAGATCTGAAATGAGGTAGCGAAATGCATGGCATACTCTTAAAGCAGTGCAAATGGCAATCACCTTGATATTGGGCTGCACATTTCATGATCAGGCATGCAGTGCCGTGTAGTCTTGGTCTCTCAGCTGGTCCCACCTTCATGGTGTTCTTAGTGTGGTCCGGTGGGTGACTGATTTTTCTCATCGCCCACGTGGTCTTCACGAGCCGTTGTGGGGGGCGGGGCCACTCGTGCTGCTAATAACCCTTGCATTCCCATGGTGGGGCCGTCGTGTATACGTGCATGTAGGGTGTGCATGTCGTATGCCAGAGCTCTGGAGTAATCAGGTGTTCCGCCGAAGATATTGAGGTGGTGAGGTAGTGGTTAGCACTGATTAGTTGTAATGTTAGTGGGAGTCTTTTTTTTCTACGCCGTTACCCAAAAACAGGTAACCAGGAGTGCCCCTCCCTCAATCCCAGCGACGCAGTGAACCGTACGTTAACACCAGAAAACATAAAATCAAGTCGCGGCACTCCCAGCTAGGAAGATGAAACAAACGTAAAAAAACAGGCGAAGAGGTGGAGCAGACCCGAAGGAATTGTGTTATGTGATAGGTAGGGAAAAATCATAGATGAAAAGGCTTAAAGAAGTCATTAGCCAAAGTCAGCTAATGACAGCCCGCTATAACCGCCCAATAATCTACAACCACTCAACTCACCGCGTTAGTAAGGGCTATACAGTCACACAAGTCGGAGGGGGCAATTACCTGGTCATTTTTGTGCTGGGTTTTGAGCTGGATGTCCAGGGATTTCACCCAGCTAAGCAGAGCTTGTTGCTGGGAGAACTCCCGGAGCCAGCGCCGTGAGTTTGGGTATATGTGGAGGACTTTATATCAGAAATTGATTATGAAACATGGACGAGGTCAAATATGAAGTGTGTTGGATATGTACAGCACAAGGATGGCAATGTCTTCAAATATGTTGGTTACGTTAATATGTGTTCACGAAATGCTTGCGGATGATGTTCTTAGCGATGGTTTTTGATACAGGGATATTAGCTATTCTTGGAAAATATGAAACAATGATTCCACAGCTCGTTCCACAGCATAGAGCCAAGGCAAGATGCTGTAAATAGTCTATAATTACGATAAGAGAAAGGTTGGTCTAAATGTTTTGCTCGCCTCATATCCATGTCATTAGATTCATAGAGATTGTAAATTAAATCAAATGATGCAGGGGGCTGTGAAGTTAAAAATTTGTGCATCACAACTAGCATTTGAGATTTAGCAATATCCGATAGTTTCAAAATTTTGTATCGTTTAAAGATTGGCTCTGGGCTTTGTGGAGGATATACACTTTCTATAAGACGCACAGCCCTTTTTTGCAAAATTACCAACCGATCTAGTTGAGGAGCATAATTTATGCCCCAAACCAAGCAGCAGCAATTTAGATAAGGAAGAATCAAAGTGTTATAGAGTAGATGTGACGTTGTTTTATCAATAAAGTACCTAACCCTACTTATTATTCCAATATTTCTACTTACTATGCCTGCAACAAAATTAGTGTGGCTTGTATACTTAAGATATTTGTCAATGATTACACCAAGGTATTTAATTTCTTTTTTCTCTTCAATAGGTGAATTATCGATTTGCACATTTAGTCGGAAATGCGAAGAAAGGGTTGTGTAATGCCGTGTGAATGTTTTTGATACGTTCAGGGGGAGAAAATTAGCAGTAAACCAAGAAGTCCTTAGAAGCAAAAGCGTATTGAAATTGTTTTGAAGTTCGACAATACTTTTATTTTTGAAAACAATCGCAGTACCATCAGCGTAAGACAGACAAATCATGTTGCTGCTTAATTTAGGGAAGTCATTTATGTACATTAAAAAGAGGATTGGGCCGAGCATGGATCCTTGGAGTACCCCCATTGTTACGTTTTTGATTGTTGATAGACAATTCATGATTTTTACACATTGAGTTCTGCCAGACAAATATGAAGAAATGATTTCATAATTGCACGTTAATCGTAAATGATTTCATAATTGCACGCACGTCGTTAATTGCACGGGCTCTTTATTTGTTGCCAGTTTATAATGAACCAAAAAATGACGTAGAATTTGTATGGACTGGATGCAAAATGCTGTGAGTACTTTGTCCATGTCGATGTCGGACGAAGCGGCAATGCAGGTAATGAACATGTGCTGCTGTGCCAATAGACGTACAGACATTTTTGTGGCACTTACCTGTAAAGCTGTGTTAATCGCAGTCATAATGGCTCGCACTATGACCGAGGCTTGGCATTGTAATCCAGTAACGCTGGGCTTGAGTCATTGAGTCACCAAGTGGGTGCTTTTGTTGGTCCCTCGCTTCTTAAAGGTCAGTTCCGGATGCCCACAGAGGTATGCCCGGTCACAATACGGTTATCTGAAATATGGCACGGCATGAAAAAGTGCCTTTCTCTGGCCGGACGGGCTACCGGGTGTTCCATTCCCAGCTGTTACAGTTCGCTGTACAGTTGACGTAAGACCCGAATATGATACGAAGCAGACAATCCCCAATGTAACATGAAACGCAACATGTCAGAATCATTAATGTAAAAGCATTGGTCAATAGATAACTGTGGGCTTGTATTTCTCTTTTCACTCGCGCACCGGATTATTGCACTGTTGGTATGCGACGCGCCCATTGCGGAGGCGGGCCCAAGTCCAAGATTGACCGAATGCCATTCAAGTGTTTAGTGCTACACTAATGGCAAATACGGGAGCGAGAAAAGTGCGCTCGTACAAATGTGTTTCAAAGCCAGCCAGTAGATCCATGGTTGGCATGGAGTATGACATCTTGTTCTTGCTTTCGCTCACAGTTAAATCAAGCGTGTCCCATTTAGTCAGCAACGCAAGTTTCCTCAAAATCCTTCGAGTTGCTCTGACTTTTTAGTTGGAGTGGACACTCCGAAGAGATCAATGACACTGGACTCCCTCTCCACTATGAAACAATCATTTTCATTTGCTTTGCGTTTCCCAACGTGTGTGTTATGCTAGCAAAAATAGTGTGCGATAGATGGTATGAAAGCTTTTTGCTGTTTGCTGTTTGAAAGCTGTTTGTTCCCCGGTCCGAGTTGCTTGGTTTGTTTCATATAATTGATTTTTAAAGTACGAACAGTTTATTTTATGCAATGCATTACACCAAAGACGCAGAACACACATTTAAACGAGAAAACAATAAGATATGAACACACACTTAGCTAAGTTGTGGACTCCTCCTAATACGATTGGGAAGGAGCTCCGAAAGACTGAGCGGGCTTGTGAGAGGCAGCAGTAGGCCGATAAGAACGAGCAGGTGTGTAAGAGGGAGCAGCAGGCCGGTAAGAGGGAGCTGGTCTGTAAGAGGGGGCAGGCTGATAGGAGCGAACCGGTTGGTAAGCAGGAGGAGCCTTGTAAGAGGGAGCGGCAGGAGCGTAGGAGCTGGCTGGGGCGTAGCTGGCCCGCTCGGGGTACTGGGCCTCGCCGTCGTAGGTGACCTCGGCGTTGTAGCCGCCGTAGCCCTGGATGTCACCCGTGTACTTGACGTGCTGAACCCGGCCGTCGGGCAGGTTGACCGAGTAGTAGCCCTGTACGATCTTGGTATCGCTGTTCTCGTTCTGGGAGAACACTGATCCGCTGTAATGGTCATTGACGGCGTACGCAAACTGGTACGGCTGGGCGTAGTTCTGCGGTTCCTGGTACGACGGGGCGTAGGAGGGCGTCCGGGCGTACGACGGAGCCGGTGCGTGGCTTGGCGCCGGAGCAGGAGCGAAGCGTGGCGCCGGAGCCGAAGCGTAGCGTGGGGCGGGTGCCTGGCCGTAGCTTTGGGCCGCAGCCACCGACAGGACAGCGGCGAGAACGAAGATCTGAAATGATATAACGTACCATGTAACACGCTCTTGATAGTATAAATGAAGACCACCCTGATATTGGACTTTATTTCGTATAATCAAACACGCAGTGCTGTGTTGTCTTCACCTCTCAGTTGACCTCACCTTCATGGTGCTCTTGGTGTGATCCGGTGAGTGACTGACGCTTTGTTCCTGGCCCGGTGGGCTTATATACGAGCCGTTGTGGAGGGCGGGGTCGCTCGTGCTGCTAATCGCCTTCGCATTGTCATGGTGGGGACGCCGTGTGTACGTGCATGCAGAGCTGGTTATGTTGCGTGATAGAGCTTGGGAGAGGTGAAGAGTTTCGTGCAAAACATTCAGGATAGGTGGTAACATTGTCTCTCTTATATGTTATTATGGTTGTCATGTTTTCGAAGCATCCTTTAAAGGTGGTAGACTCTAAAAGCGTTACACATTCTGGTGCATCTTAGGTCTTATCTTAAGGTCTCGTCACAAATGATATAACACCCTGGGAATGCTTTGAATTTTGGATTGGTGAGTTTTACAGCATTACAGTAGGTCTATTTTCCTCACTTGTTCTGCCTTCCCAACTAGTTCCGCAGAGTTCGCATTTATTCCACGGTTTTTCCCTTGAATGAAACGATTTGATAAAAATCTACTTCATGTGCGTAGTCCTCTTTTAACGTAGACTTAACGTATCTGTAGGATATCTCGCGGGAGACAAGCTTAGCACTGACGTATACACCAATTATGTAATGAGCTGTTGCTCAAACAACGTGCACTATCTGAGTAAACCTCCGGTAACTGGTGGTTACCATCTTGTCGATGGCGTAATATATTGCATCCAGCGTGCTCTCCTCGCATTTGTGTTTCCTATAGCTAATGTGCTAGTTAAAACCGGCGCTTTTCTACGTAACACTACATGATCCGACTCCTACAGTCTCTGCGCGCTAGGCTCACCTACCAACGATGTTCACCCTCTGGATCCACCTCCCCCGACCTTCACGCTCTTGAACCACCTCTGCACGATGTTCACTCGCATGG